AACCTAGTATCCAGTTTCTGCCTTTTGCTCAGTTAGCTCTGATTTGTGATCCCAACAGCCTCTGCATGCGGTTTTGTGGTCTGCCACCCTTTGCCCTACAAGTCTCTCCAAGATAAAAGCGACCACATGAAGACACCATTTTGTAGCATCCAAACATGGATAATGGGTCAACTTTATCTCCAAAAGTGGGCATACCTAAAGTTGTAATTTCTCTGAAAACCGTTTTTATTCCCCATTACCCTACTATTTCGCCTATCCTTTTAAAGAGAACGCACGAAAGCAAGGAAAAAACAGAGGAAAAGATCTCCTTATCTCTCCTTGAGTATTCATCATCACAAAGGGGTACCCTTTGCTAATGTACTGTTACTTTCAATCAAGCCTAAGGGATAATTATTTTAAAGCAATATGAGTTATAGCCGATTCCGTTCATTATCATAATCGCCTTTATCGGCTAGTCTTATGCTCCAGATAAGCATAGATGTTAAAACGCCAACCCCAGTTTTATAACTATGGTCATAGTAGAAATTACGGCTAAAGCCAGCATGCGTTGGATATCTATATACATCCTTATTTAAATGCTCACCTTCTCAGAGCTCTAGGACATCAAAAAAGGTACATTACTGTCTTTCTTTATCTCCATTGTCAACGTAACATTGTAATCAATCTGGTTAATTAAGAACAAGAAATTATCTAAGCTATCCTTACCATGCTGTAATATGACAAAGTAGTCATCAATATACCTAGCAGCTTTGGCATGAATCTGGCCAAAATAAGGAACCCATTCAACTTCTATACTAATCTTAGCCTCTTCTGACAGCCTGTCTGTTAAGGTAATAGCCTCAATCAGCATCTCTATAGAATAATTTGCTCAATTTGAAAGGCAAATTGTTAACTCCTCTCCAAGAGGAGCTTCACACTATCATATGTAGATATACTTGATAAATTAATTACTTTATTTTGCTAGGACAAATAGCACTAAGTTAAGGTACATCATTATCGTTTCGACTATATCTTGAGTTGATTTAATGATTAAACTCACTAATTTTTATACTGTCGGACCCTGTGGACTTCATACACTCTTTCCGCTAGACCGTCATCCATATTCTCTAATTTGAGGATCTTCTTTGTAGAAATAAAAAAGGCATTATCCATTCTTTTTTTTGGTTCTAATCATATGTAATTTTTCTATACCTTCTTTTAGTATGGTCTTAACCAAACGACTTGACAACTGTTGCAGTTTCCTAACAATAGAAATAGGTAAACTTGGACGACTGCCAAGAAGACATCTAAATATCACATTATGTGAAATACACATTTTTAAAAACCCAATGGCACTAACTCACAGGGATATAGATCTTTTGGTTTTCGCATAGCCAGAAGAAAGCTTATAAGCATTTGGAACATACTCACGCATGATATGCGAGGAAAAGTTTGGCTTCGATGAATCTCATTTCAGCTTAGCACCTTTCCACAAAAATCGAAGATCACCCTGCAAACCCTGTCAGCAAAAATGTTCCAGTAAAGCTAGTCGACAGCTGGTCAGGGAGAATCCGCTATCGTCTTTAAGTGGGATCGACCTTCGAATTTCTTTACTTCACTAAAAAAAGCTCAGCAACTGAAGCAATAGACTTTTCCTAGCAATATCTTCTTCGCATAATAAAGATGCTCACTCAAATCAGCTGGCAGCCCTGTTTCATAATTGGGTTCGGGTCAGTTATCATATACTACATTTAATAAATTTGTTTTACCTAGTCCCCTTGAGTGAATGAACCCCTCATCAAGGGCAATTGCTGTTTGAGAGGCCTACAAATGCACTCAGCCGAAGCTACTACCGGAGAAGCAGCGCCAACTGCTGGGAAAGTAGTGTAATATAGCTTTCGAGTACCCCGAGCCCATCTATGGATGTTGACCAGCTGACCCAAAGCCAAAACTTCAGGGCCCCACAGCAAGGCGTTGTTTACCACTTAATATCATATCTAGATTTTTGCAAACTATTCGCATTTGAGAATTCCCATTTAATAACTGAATCACAGGGCTCCATCATTAACTTTTGGCATTTACCTCGCATATTTTGAAAGATAATATGGACATCAAAAATTAAACCGATAATTAATACGTCCTAGGAAATACTCCGCTTTGAAATGGAAAAATGATGGAAAAGTCCAAGACAAAAGTATTAGGAACAGAGAAGAATATATATATATATATATATTGGCGTCTATGATATTAAAAAAATAATCAATAAAATGGAAATCATCAAGAGTTACTTAAATCAGAACCAAGAAAAAGTTCGCGTTGCATATTTTGATATCGAATAGAAGATTCATGGAGGAGTAAGCGTGCTGCTGTTGAGATAAGATTGCTAGTTTCAGAAAATCGATCTTGCGCAAGGTTTATCAATTGTTGAACGTCATTTTCAAGCAAAGATCTGATTTGTTCTAGAAACTGTAGCCGATCGTGATCATCAATGGATAGCTGCAATAAATAAGTACAAAAGTTGAATAAAAATATTCGGGCCCAGGAGGCTAAATTGTGAAGAGCCTTAGATTAAAATAAAGAAATTTTAACCGTCATAATCCAGCCAAAGAACATGAAAAATCGTCCCATTACAAAAGCGAATGGTAGCAAATTTTCTTTGTGGATTACCGATAAAAAATTACAGCGATATATAAAACCCAAAATCACCATTGCTATAGACAGAAAAATGGAAAATATGAAGATTCTATATTAGATGACTTAAATCTGAGCAGTCACGATTACCAGAACAATCAGTATATTTCAAGCATTGGCATCACGCGAACAATTTGATGGTTGATTTAGTAAAAATATCGACCAAATCTTAAGAGAAGAGACCTATAGATGTAGGAATAAGCACATCTTAGTCAGATTGCACTATAGATCCGATGTCCACCTCTGCAGATTGAGCTTGAACCAAATTCAGCAACCGCAGCCCAAATCAGAGATCGATCGGCTGTTTTTGTCGATCCAGGGAAGATTTCTTACTCTAGGATTTGGTCTATAGTCGACCACCAAATTCAAAACGGTGTAGAAGAATAGATAAAATGTGATGAATAAAAAGGTAGATTGAAAGCAGCCCAAAATAAGTCAACAAATTCGACAAAAAAATGAACTCACGAATCGAATCATCTCGTCCGAAGAGGCATGGCGTATTTCAGCGATGAGGCGGTCCTGAGGGTTCGGGTACGGTCCCGTGATAAAGAATCGTTTCATAATTGGTTGCAGGAGGGGAACAATGAAGCCATTCACGAGAGAAGTAGACAGACTATTATCTGATTCTACGGGACATTTGACAAGGACACTGCCTACGTGGACTTTGCTGAGGGCTGAGGAGCTTATGGTTGATAAGCATTGGGGAGACTGAAGAGAGATATTTTCATCAGATGGATACAAATCGTCGAGAGAATTCTGATGAGTAACATGTGAAACTGTACATGAGGGCTCATCAGTATGGCCAATGAGAGTGGTCTTCAGAAAGGACAGCAAATTCTTCTAGAAAATAGAGAATAATTGCTATTATTTATCTTAACTATAAAGATAAGGATTCTAACAGGGAAACTATCCAAAATGTTTTAAGGTAGTGGCTGTGGAGATCTCAATCGTGCACACAATAAAAGCATGTTTAATGTAAATCTAGTCC